AAATACATCACCATCAGCTGACCATTTTTTGTTTCTTTTATTTTAACTACCACCAAACATGAATGTATACTGCCTGGTGGTTTCAATAAATCAATAGTACAGACAGCATTTTGGTCCTTCTATCAGCAAGCAAGCAGTAAGCAAATTCCGTTTACCTGGGATACGTTTAATGATGACAAAATTCAGTGCTTGGTGGTGTAGGTGATTTCAATTGACAGAAGTATTTCCAGAACCATACACAAAACACTTCTAAAAGCATTGTACAATTTCTACTGAATCATAAAAATGTGTTTACATATATGTTACAACTACTGGAGTGTTGTGTTGTATCGTTTTATTGAGATGGTTCAATGGGTCAATCCTTTGAATACCAGGGGTTCGTGAAAAGGTAAGCTGATCCTGCCACACCGCTGTCAACGGTGTCGTGCCGGGAGGGCTAAAACGCATTTTTCAGATGTCCCAGGAAGGCTTAAATGTATATTTCGGATTTCCCGGGAGAGCTAATTTCCAAGGGAGCAGGGGAGTACCGCCGAAGCTAAAGATACGGTGCCGGGAAGTATAATCCATGTCGGGAGTAGATAGATTTCTTTTCTTTTCATGTTATAGTATTCGATTCGTTTATTACCGTTGTCTGTACAGTGGTTAATAATATGTTTATAAATTGCACATTTCGATGATTTGGACAGCTCAATAAAGATAAACTGAATAGCATGATCATTTTGTCTTTGTTTTATAACTATTAGATAATCGAGTGGTAATTCCTGCCTTAACCATATTTCACTTAATCCAATGTTTGACCAAATACTCTTAACCTGATACGCCCACTTTTTGACACCACGGGTCTCTACCTCTTCATACAAATACTCATAACAACCCCGTAAAATGCTATTTTCAGACACAAGCTGCTTACACCAATATTTAATCATGCTATATTGCCTTTTAAATACCAGCGGATAACGACCTAACTCGGCATAAGCCATGGAATTGCATGTTGATTTCTTAACTCCTAATAACCTTTTACAAAAATCTAAATGCAACCTTTCAATATTTAAGCCTTTACTATATCCCCATATCTCAGACGTATAAGATAGTATACTGCCAACATAACAATCAAAGACAAATAAAAGAGATTCCATGTTGTGAGAGAGCGATCTGATATTATTGTCAATTGACAAAAGGCCTTCCTACCCTGGTCAGACAACTACAGCTGTGCCTTTGAGAATGGGTTATTATAATAAAAACCTATTCCTAAATATGTAAACGTATCGACAACCTCTAGGACATAACCATTATATAACCAATGTTCTGACGATTTACCTTTACCATCTCTTCTGAAGACCATTATGTTTGTTTTAGCAATATTTACTTCAAGTTCCCACCGTCTGGAATAATCTGACAACGAATTCAACTGTGTTTGCAACCTTTCAACAGATTCAGAAAATATTTCAAGATCATCAGCATACATAAGCAGAAACATATTCAAATATTTAAACTAGTAAGGTATACATTTATCTTTTAGGAAAGACTCCTCAAAATGAACTATCTAATGTCGAATTAAAGAAAATATATAATGAAGACAGACAGAAAATATTATCTATATTGTATTGTATGTATGGCCAGAGGCCGATGTGGCTTGCGTCAATAAAATATGTTTGTTTGTCTGTCTGTCTGTCTGTCTGTCTGTCTGTCTTTATTTATATTTTTATATGTGCTCAAATTAAAGAGCGTCCCCGATAATCCTGTTTTCTTTCTAATTTGTCAGAGCCTCCGAGTGAGGCGCTCCGTGTTCATTCAGCCATAACATTGCATTGCAAGTACCGCGAAGGCTACGCTCATTGAACCGAGAAGCGTCACGATTTTAGCCTTCCCGGCCATGAATCATGTCAACTGTCATAAACACATGCAATAGCAAGTCAATTGTGTATCTGGAACGTACGTATGGGCATATAACACAAGTCAAGTAGGGAATATATTCGGACATAAGGGTATCCTTCGATGAACATTGTATCAACCCTTGTGGAAGGTGCCTTCATCGCCAATCTTCAATCACTGTAAGAGCACAGTTTATTAGCATAAAAAGTCTAGAAACTATTTGTCTTGATATTCCTACCCTGGGGTATCTAAGCAGATTATCAACATTGGCCATACCACATCATAATACCACGTATAATTGGTCAATCATTTCTTTGTTCACGAGGTATTCCAGAGCTTATACATTCTGATCAGGGTGGAACTGTGGCGAATACATTGATAAGGGAGTTAGAAGATTCGCTGGGAAATGTCAAGTCCAGAACCAAGGAAATGGGATATGGGAACAGCGTTATCGCGCTTTAGAAGATGTGTTGGGGACACCTGAGAGAGATAAGAAAGCAGATTGCAGGTCTCCTTTGCTATCTGTGGTATCACCAACGTGGCTCCCACATGTCCACTGTGTAAGACTGCAACCTGTCTCTTGATTTGAAGTTTGGTTTGGAAAGATGTGTTGGGCATCTTGTGATGAACCCTGACAAGGAGGAAAGTTGATGCTGTGCATGAATTTTGCATCAGTGTCCGCGATTGTAATCGCACAATTCGAGGTGCAGTCCCAAATCGTGTACACAGGAAATCTTAATACAGGATTCTAAAATCATTACAGAAGTATGTTTATCAAAGTCAGAACACGGGATTGTAAAATGCCAAGGTAGCATACTAACTAGAATTCGATATTTTGAACTGTCATGGTAGAGCCCTGTTTATTCCATACTGAATGCAGAATTAAACTTGTAATGGTAGAATTCTGTTTACTCCAAGCAGAATACAGAGTTCGAAATGTCATGTTTCACTTCAAGCAAACTATATACCGAGTCTGAGTGACAACGGTACATCTCACATACCGCCCCTTGCACGTGCTCCCCGCCTGCCGATGCTGTGTTTGGGATCTAGGTTTCTTCAGAAATGTGTTTGTCACATAAATAACTTACCCTCACTGCCAGACATTGTTGTATGTTACTGTAGTTTCACCTCAAAACATAATATCCCCTATTTTCAGTAAAGTATATTTCAGTTACATCACAACTTGTCACCTTATTTTCTTTAGGAAAACTACATAAATTTAGATCCAGAAATGTACTTTTCACATGTATAAAATGTCTCTACGTAATTTGAATAAAATCAAATGGAGCCAAGAACAATGCACAGGTTTGCCAAATCATTCTAAACTTGAGATGGACCCGTTTTGAATTTTATGCTAGGGGATATTTTTACCAGAGGAAAACCTCTGTTTGGTGTAGCCTTAGAGACCATTGTTGTGTGATATGTGAAGGGATCTGGTATGGAAATACAGCCAACAGATCCTGAGCACTGCCACTTCACATGACAGATCTGCAATATAAGGTTATCTTTCAATATCGGAAATGACCTGGATTATCGAGCCTGACATTACCCGTGTTGTATCATGTATGGTATTCCTTGAGCTTTGGCTGCAGAATGATATCCTGTAACTTTTGTCGTTCAAATTTCAACACGATGAATGCCAGGCGTAACAGTCATTCACCACAATTCCGCAACACGCCATGACGCCATCGTTCGATAAGGTTGAAACTCTTGGATGCACCCAGAACTCATCGTTCACTTCACCGTCAATACTCCCGGATCCTAACTTCAGAATGGAACACATTGGACCTTCTCCCGTCGTCAACGGTACCTTTACCAATTAGGGTACAGCCAAGGACCCGCTTATTATTAGTACGACTGATATCTATTTGACTGTTGCCTGCTGGTGCTGCGTCCCGGCGTGTTTTCTTTCTTTTTTTGCTCTTTTTTTGTTGCTGTTAGTTGGTTTGGTTTTTTTGTGTTTGTTTGTTTGTTTGGTTGGTTGGTTGGTTTTTGTTTTGTTTTGGTTTGGGTTTTTTTTGGGGTGTGGGGGTTATTTTTGTTTTTTCCTTTGTTTGGGTTTTTCTTTTTTTTTGAGGGTGGGGGGATTGGGGGGTTGTCGTTTAACGCCACACTCAGTAATATTCCAGCACTATGATGGTGCGCTGCTATAATTGAGTCGGGACCAGACAATGCAGTGATCAACGACATATGTATCAATCTACGCAATTGGGATACGATGGCATGTCTCAACTAAGTCAGCGAGCCTGACCACCCGATCCCGTCAGTTGCCTCTTATACAAGCACGGGTTGTTAAACAGCCATTAAGTCTTCACGGGTTAACGTGAATTGCGTAGCCATCATCAGCGCCATTTCAGAAAGTCCCTTCTGAGGATAATCTTGGTATTTTCATCTCGCTCACTTGATGACCTGTGATATTTGAGGATCTCAATGACTCGTTCATTTTTCATATCGTGCAATCATGATAAAACAGTGTTTTAACAATATTCAGTAGAGCGTATTTTTCTCATAAAACAGTAAGATAATGTTGGGTGTATTTGGACATTCGCTTTCAATCTGAAATCAGTTTCCTTCAGCCAAGACATTTAAATAAGATCACCTTTCAGAGTAGAGTCAGAAACCTATGAACGTGGTTCGAATCTCGGGTTGTATTTTGCGTTAGTCATTAACATATTCCCAAATGTGGTAAACACCTGAGTTCTGCGTCACTTCAGGATTTGATCCCAAATATACTGAACTGATAAAACGGGTGTGCCAGTGTTCAAAATTGAAGGATACCCCAACATATTCACTCACTCATTAACAGTTTATCAGGGAACCTACTCCATCCACATATATGTATATGACGAATGGTTGGGTATTGGTGATTTTGGTTCAAAATAAACCTGTAAAAAATATACATTATCTTTACAACACTCTGCAAGTATTCGTATTTTTTTCAACAAAACAGAAAACTATTGTTGTTGGTCATATTTCTGAGCAATGTGTTTAAAAACACACATCCCAAAACATCAAACATCATGTTTATCATCAACAACGAAATTGGACGTTTACATACACACATAATACATATAAAAATTAGCGTTAATCTTTCGTGAATTTAACGCAGAACAGAGACAATGCTGCAGTAAGCTAAACAAATATTTATTTCTCTAAATGTTACAATTTTAAACATTCTTTCAAATACATGTACATGCGGATTGCCTAGACGCTAACAGAACACCACATAGCTATTGGCATCATATGACCACATCGCCTATCTGTATGAAGATGTTCACGATCAGGCGCAGAACGAAGCAGTCCTAAAATCACAGCCTTATTTGTTGGTATTGTATGTTTTTCTGGCGACTTGAACCTTCTAAAGTCCATTTGCGCCAGCACATGAAATGACTTTAAATAAAAAGAACAATGTGAGTAATGACAATGAGATAATTGACCAGTCTGCTTAAGATACAGTATATATTTAAAACCGCAAGTAACTAATATTACTGAAAACTCGTTCAATAAAGGTTTAAATGTCGATAAAAATGTATATATGAGTTAACATTATTAAATTTGTATAATGTACTGAGAGAAACAAATAAGGGATCACAGGAAAATTCAAGCGTTCCTTTAATATTTTCCAGTATTCATCTCCAGCTTTGATTAGCGCTGTGGCGAAGAAAACTGTAAAGTAATAAAGGAACGCTTGCATTTCCCTGTGATCCTTTATATATTTCTCTCAGTATATATTACAATTCCTGCTGAATTGAACCACACAATATGTTTGGGCCAGCTTTATTTGTTTCTTACCGTTATATATAGCATGCCCTTTGTATCTCAGACGAGTGTGACGCAATGGATGTTACGTTACACAAATTATAGATGTCACCGTGCAGAAAAGTATTTCCCGCCTAATTCTGAGGTTATGTGAAAGAGGTTGAGATTTAACTATTGTTTTTTTGTTTAGTTCTTTGGGCAGAGAAAGAAAACTCATCTTGCCTTATATGGTTGCTTGAATAAATAAGAAGGGTTATAAGTTGGACACAGCTCAAGTTATTTTTACGAATATGTCTATTTTTCCCAGGTTACTATGGAAACTGACTGGTAGAAATTCAGTCGTTCAGTTGCTAGTGTAAGAGAGCTACCTAACACTGACATACATAGAATCCACTTACACAAAGGCATTCTCCCGTGGGTGTAACATGTATTTATCTAGTTAACAGAAATACAGATTTATGACACAACAGTACATTCATCTTTATTTGAACACGATATTGCACACACATTCACAGTGTTTGCGATCAAAGATATAGTCTTTCCAGATTTCCTGTCTATACCATTTTAGTACCGTCCTCGTGATTTCTTCAAAACTCTTGACATCGTTTTGTACATGAATCAACACCTTGATTCTTTATTAAGCTTATTGCAATATGTACCATGGGATAACCTCTGACCTTGCTCGGTCGACCTTCACCTTCTAAGTGGGCATAACTGGCAGTTTCTCCCCCATTCCACTCGTCATCGCGTCACCTTCATCCTTGAACCTTCCTCAATACAAACGGCAATGGTGATGTAACAAGGACAGATTTAACCAGGTCAGGGGTGACGAGGTCAGAGGTTACACGTCGAAGTAGGTGACCTGAGTGGCTGTGATGGCTCCACAGAAGCTCAAGATGGCGGCAGCGACAATGACAGCGGTGGTGCTGCCGACTGCGTGGATGATGCTGCCGATTGACACAGAGAGAAGGAATTGGGCTAGGAACACCATGCTGCTTATCAATGCCACGTCAGTCCCCAGACCACGCACCTGTTGGTCCTCGGGACGATTGAACTGGAACAAAAAGGGAGAGTTAGTCAAGTGACAATCTCATCGGATCTTCTCCGATGTGGTACCTCTACTTTTAAGGATGAGACCTCGGTACAAGTGAGTGAAGAATTAAGAAGAATATGTTTGAATCTGTATTTCGAAAATGAATAGAATTGACAGACAGACAGCTTATTTGCGTAATATCGGCCTAGTGGCCTATAATACAGTTATACAGTTAATATATAAATCGATGTACAGTGGTCAACTGGATCCAGCTCTGGTATCGAATACATTATGCAGAAATAAAGCAGTGAAGTATATTACCTGACTGTTTCTTGATTTGATCTCACACTTGACACCCAATTTATTTTGCCCATTTCGTCAAAAGTTTTAAGCATCTTATAACACTGTATGGGATAACGTTGTTGATTTATGTGTAGCAGTTTAAACCAAAACCTAATTACTTTGATCTGGCTAAAGACATACATTGGATAACGTCCAAGTTCACCGAGGTTGCCTTGTTTGAAGCAAATTTTCCAATTTTGAGAAATCTTTTTAAATATTTCATTTGAATCCTTTCAATTGAATCTGAATATATGTGTCCCCAAATTTCAGCTCCGTAGAGTAGTATTGGTGCTATCTTCCTATCAAAAATAATCTGTGCCGTAGAGTATGTAATTTCCTGTTTTTTCTTAAAGATTCTTAACACCGAAAGACAGGCTTTGTTTGCTTGTTGTGCAAGAGTTTCACACACCTTTGTCCATATTAATCTGGATGACAACACGATACCAAGATATTTATAGTAAGTTACAACCTCTATAGGCTGATTACCGAAGAACCATTTCTCCGATTTCGCCAGAATTCCACCATTTCGAAATACGATGATATTTGACTTTCTTAAATTCAACTCCAATCCCCAATGTAAACAGAATGACTCTAGGAGCCTTAGTTGAGAATTGAGAAGTTCCGAGAGCAAAAACATAAAGACGTGTTGATATTAATATTGTTCTACAAATTGTGTACATTATGTCTTTTGTGAACGTCATAGCATCTACACCCAAAATATCTGTATGACTTACTATCAAGGACTAGAAGTCATGTTTTATATAGCTGACATCTGATTGTATCAAGAACCTCTAAATTATTTATTAAGATTGAGCGTATTCTTATTAATAAAACAAACTGTCTTCGTGTCATGTTTCTGAGTACAAAACTAGGGTCAATCCTTCATATTAAATGTGTTCCATCAATTCTTGGTGTCATTTAAGGCCCACAATTCGCTGTGCAGAGTTGCGTCCCTTTGGTACGCAAGGAATCTATGATCGTTGGTTCGAATCCCGTTTCGCCGCGATTTTGTTTCCACCTGTCGTGGTAAACGTTTGAAGTCTGCATCACTGCGACATTTCTTCACTCAGTCAGCTGACACGCCGCGACACAAGTTGATTACTGTTACAGCTGGGTTAACCCCAACACGAACCTATCCGTGTTATTGTCACATAGGTTTGACCCCTTTGGGGTCCAAACGTGTTTCGCAATGTGTTTCACCTCAAAAGGCGTTAAGGATGGGCCTATATTACACCATCTGATACCCAACACTTCAAAGGCATTGTTGGTAATTGAAGAAACCTGTGCATCCTGAGACACATTCGTAACTACTCGTGTCATTCCGGCAAACTGGATTGTAGGTCACGGAAAGAGGCGAGTAGTTACGAATGCCTGAGACATAGCAGTGAGGCATACATGACAGTTGCAGTTTCTTGCGTCACTGACTGCGACAAAGTATTCAAGAACACAACACTTCAACAACCTCGGCGGGCGACGAACCAGTGGCCTTTTGATTTGTAAGGCTACACCTAACGTCCTGAGAGGCTTGTTGATGTTACGAAGTTCAATTTCTCTTGCCACTATTATCTTAGTTTTGTTCATATAGTACATTATAATACTTTCTTTAAATCTAATTTAAATATTATACATCTTTCCCATATTTGATTAAGTGCCAAAAGATATCAACTTCACTTCATTTCAACTTGTTTACCATACTAGGATAATGCACAATAATATGATATATAAAGGATCATCATCATCATCATCATCACGCATTTACATCAAACACTGCTACAACCTACAAACATTGTTACATCTCTCCCTTTTATGGTATATATCATTTTATGACTATCACATTTTTAAATTTGACAACTTTTAAATTTGACAAGTTAAGCTGCCACATTTGGTCAGAAGTTAGCAAAAAATCCTACCATTCGTCTTGGATTTACAGTTTTAAAAATGCAACAATCGTTATACGAATTACTGTGATCTATGGAAAACGACATCACTAGTGATATTTATTTTATCGACTTCCTAGACTGCTATTTCCACAGTTCTAAAATTATCTCTTTGCCTCATGATTGATTAAATCTTACATACACATTGCCAAGAAGCAGATCGATCAGTAATAGTTCTATAACTGGTGTCTTTTTATCAACTACATGGCTTCAATATCCGTTGTTCATTTGTGTACTTCCTTCACTCTTTGACGTAACAAGTTCTCCATCATCTCCTTTGTAAGAATTCTACCGTGTATTGATCGACCGGACCTGACTTCACTTCCCTCCCAATCGCGTATTGTCAATAACAGTAATTCTGATGTAAGTGGTCACGACTGACGCGCCCTCTGCGGGACTATTTGGCATCTCGGACAAGAATTATGTCCCTGTTTCTGCGAGGAAAGGTTCAGAGCTGTGGTTCTAAATTAAGGGAGCACGATCGCTGAAATAAAGCCTTGATTCCCTTCACGTAATCGTCATCCGTAATCGCTACAATTCAACCGGATGGCATGAATTCCAAGTGCCTTTTTTGGCCTGACCTTATCACCGCTCCGCCACGCGGAGTGATAAATAGAAACGAATTTTAGCGCAGCCGTTATTGGCTGAGAGGTCGTTAAATCGCGAGACTCCGTCACTAGCCAAGCTGAAATTGAATGGCGGAATGCAAACGGGGTTTAAACAAGGCAGGTTTGACGTTTACTGGATTTAGGTACAATTTGGACACATGTTATGATGTGAAGGGAAAATTGATTCTAGTTACGACTTGCCATCAAAATTGAAGTCTCGCAAAATATTGCCCTGACAGACGTGACGATGCGATACCCAACCACCGCACGTTCATACAGGTCTACAGGCTTGGCAACAGAACCATTAGGAAATATTTAAGCGAATGAAAATGTCATCTTTCAAAGGATTCAGAACGATACATCAAATACTGTATGACACCTTTTATCGCAGTCATAGGGATTCCGATATCATTTAAACCCAAGAATAAACTTCTGAACTTCATGAAAAACGACACGGCATTAACTGGTGATATGTCGTCTTCACACGTCTTAACGTGAAGACACCGCCTGATGTAATTTCAAAAATATAAACCCCGATATAATCAAGATGAATGTTCTCGCCACTCCGATTTACTATAAACTAGTTTTCTTTATGTAGATTCCGTCAGTATCCTTTCAAATCTCTTACAGCAGAATTGCCAGTTTTCCTGAAAATCGTTTTCTTCTTTGAATAGGATATGGAATTGGAATTGAATCTGGAACGTTAACTATCTTTTTTCACGACCAAAGTAACAGTAATACAGTACAACCAGAAATTATTGAGAATTTAAAGATTGTAAATTTTTATTGTTTTCACTCATTACACACGTATTAAATGTGAATATTAGCAGAACATAACTCCAGATTCAAAGACAGGAGAACAGTTAGTATTTTGTCAAGTCACCATGGGCAGCAATGAAGGCTTCAATGCGGCGGGGCATACTACTGATCAAAGAAGTTAGAAAGTCGTGGTCCATGCTGTCCCAATATTGGACCACCTCTTCTTACATTTCAGCAATATTTGTCAGATTTTTCTTATTGACACTTTCCTTCATAAGTCCCCAAACATTTTCTATTGGATTTAGTTCAGGGCTATAGCTTGGCCAATCTAATAAATTTTGGGTCCGAAACCAGGCCTGTGAATGCTTTGAACGATGTTTTGGGTCGTTGTCCCGCTGGAAAATCCAAACATTTCCATAGAACATGTGAGCAGATGGAAGTAAATGTCCCTCGAGAATATCTGTGTACCGCTCACTGTTCATATTCCCTTCAAATACACAGAGGGGCGTTGCCCCTAACACAGATATGCCACCCCACACGTTAAATTTCGGACTGTACTTTGGGCGCTGATACAAAGGTTTTTCAGTTTGTTTGGTCCAGAATTTCAGTGTATTAGGAAACAGCCACACAGAACTTTCATCTGAGAAAATCACATTATCCCAGTTAAAATTTCTATGCTGAAACCACCAGTTCAACCTTCGCTCCTTTTGTTCAGGTTTCATGATCGGTGATGGAATTCCTCGACTTTTCTGCCAACCCATTGCATGCAGCTCAGTTCTAATTGTCTCCTTACAGACAGCCACAGTTCCTCTATCAATCATATCGAGCCTTAAGTTTTCTAAACTCCTTCGTTTGTTTTTAGAAACAAGAATACCAAGCCGCCTCCTGTGACTTTTCTCGGCCTACCTGCGCCTCCCTGGTGCTCAATGCCATATCCATTTGCAATATTTTTCAAAACACGATAAACAGTGGACAAAGGAATGCCTGTTCTACTTGAAATCACTTTAGCTGATCTGATGTCCTTGTTATAATACTCTAAAATCAACTTTCCCTTCTCTAAATCATTCATACTGAGGATCACTGAAAATGTCGTCTGCTAGCAAGTAAACAAAGGGGGATAACTCTTCCCATTTTTTGAGTCCCCCACGACCCGCAAAGGTCCGGGTTAGAATGAATCTTCAGCAACCCATGCTTGTCGTAAGAGGCGACTAACGGGATCGGGTGGTCAGGCTCGCTGGCTTGGTTGACACATGTCATCGGCTCCCAATTGCGTAGATCGATGCTCATGCCGTTAATCACTGGATTGTCTGGTCCAGACTCAATTATTTACAGACTGCTGCCAAATAGCTGGAATATTGCTGAGTGCGGCGTAAAA